GCAGCTGCACTGTGGCAACTGTGCTGCTGAAGCGCTTCAGTGATGACACTACTACCCCGATGGGAGAGCTTCTCCTGTTGGTGTAGTTAATTCACCTACACAAGAGATGGTAGTTATGTCAACGTGAGAGATAAGGGGTTAGGTTGGTATAATTGTGTTGTTCAGGGGTGTGGATTTTTCACCCCCCGAGTGTCGTAGATACACTGATGTAAGTCTGTAGTGTAGACCTGGCCTTACGTGCGTTCATAGACTTTCAGCTGTTGCTTGCAGTGATCATACTTGCTGACATAGAAGCAAACTGAGTCAGAACACTAGGGTGATGATAAATGCTCAACTACAAATGAAAGATCAAGTCAGAAAGTTCTGTAGTGTCATGCAGATTATAGTGATACGATGCAAGTGACTGAGAGGCAACAGGAAACTACAGTGATAAATGTTTATGCTGTAATCACATGCAGAATCTACAACAGACAAAAATGATGCTTGACGGCAAGCTAAAAGTTAAATAGATAACATTCTTGCACACACATCAAAAATTAAAAATCATTTGCTCAAGAATAAACCCTGCATAGGGAAATCTGCAGGGATTTCTAAAGAACATAAAAATATAGAAATGTACATAAGAATGGCCATACTGGGTCAGACCAATGGTCTATCTAACCCAGTGGTGGGCAACCTGCAGCCCATCAGGGTAATCCACTGGCGGGCCACCAGACAGTTTGTTTACATTTGCATGGCCCTACGCAGCTCCCAGTGGCTGCAGTTCGTTGTTCCTGGCCAATGGGAGCTGCGGGAAGCGTTGCGGGCCACAGGAACGTGCTGGCCACTGCTTCCTGCAGCTCCCATTGGCTGGGAACGAAGAACTGCAGCCACTGGGAGCTGTGTGCGGCCACGCAAATGTAAACAAACTGTCTGGCGGCCCACCAGTGGATTACCCTGATGGGCCACGTGCAGCCAGTAAACTGCAGATTGCCCACCACTGATCTGACCCAATATCTTGTCTTCCGACAATGGTGAATGCCAGATGCTTCAGAGGGAATAAACCAAACAGAGCAATTATTGAGAGATCCATTTGCTGTTATCCAGTCCCAGCTTAGAATAGCAAGATTGGAAGGGACCTCAGGAGGTCATCTAGTCCAACCCCTTGCTCAAAGCAGGGCCAATCCCCAGACAGATTTTTGCCCCAGATCCCTAAGCAGCCCCCTCAAGGATTGAACTCACAACACTGGGTTTAGCAGGCCAATGCTCAAACCACTGAGCTATCCCTCCCCTGGCAGTCAGAGGTTACTTACCTAATTCTTTTTTGAACCCAGTTATACTTTTGGCCTTCATAACATTTCCTGGCAATCCATTCCACAGGTTGACTGTATGTTGTGTGAAAAAGTGCTTCCTTTTGTTTGTTTTAAACCTGCTGCCTATTAATTTCATTGGGTGACCCCTGGCTCTCGTGTTATGTGAAGGAGTAAATAACACTTTCTTATTCACTCTTTCTACACTGTTCTTGATTTTATAGACTTCTATCATATATCCCCGCCCCTTTGTTGTCTCTTTTCCAAGCTGAACAGTCCCAGTCTTTTCAATCTTCGCTCATATGGAAGCTGTTTCATGCCCCTAATAATTTTTCAATGTCTAATATATCTTTTCTGAGATGGCGTGACCAGAGCTGCATGCAGTATTCAAGGTGTGGGCTGGAAGGGACCTTGAGAGTACATCTAATCCATCCCCCTTCGCCAAGGCAAGGCCGTGACTGGTGTTTGTCTAACCTGTTCTTAAAAACCTCAAAGGACGGGGATTCCACAACCTCTCTAGGTAACCAATTTCAATGCTTAGCCACCCTTACAATTAGAACATTTTGCCTAATCCCCCAACCTAAATCTCTTTGTACAAGAGCAATTTCTTCTCTTCTCAAAAGTGATTACTTCTTGTTCTACCTTCAGTGGACATGGGGAACAATAGATCACTGTCCTCTGTAACTGTAGCTAAAATACCTTTTAGATATTTGAGGACTGTTATCATGTGCCCCCTCAGCCTTCTCTTCTTTAGACTAAAAATACTCAGTTCTTTCAACCTTTCCTCATGGGTCAGGTTTTCTAAACCTCTTACCATTATTGTTTCTTTTTGCTGGATTTTCTCCAATTTGTCCACATCTGTTTTAAAGTGTGTGCCTAGAATTGGACACAGTACCCCAGCTGTGGCCTCATCACTAGTGAGCAGAGCAGAACAAATACCTCCTGTGATTTACATATGACACTCCTATTAATACACACCAGAATGGAATTTGCCCCTTTTGAAATGACATCACATGGTTGATGAGCAGATGTAAGTCTGAGCCCTTCCACCCATGGCTTGAATCTGAATGTTGCCATTCTGCCCTTTTTCCCATGCACAATATTCGTTTTCAGTCATGGATTACTCCCATGGCTGGGCTGCAATGCAGGATTTACAGGGTCAAATTCTATGGCCTGTGCTATACAGGAGAACAGATTAGCTAGCCATAAGGGTCCCCTCTGAACTTAAAATCTATGAAGGTGTACTAAGTCATATTGTTTCCTGATTGTGCTCTGACTGGGCTGACTAACACTGACCAAACTCCTTAGTTCCTCTCTGTCTGAGTGCACAGAAAATATTGTCACAACAAGTCTTATTCACTTGATACTCACCAATGATATAGCTCCTGCTTTCCTGCCTCCACCCACCGCATCTCACCCATGCTTGGACGGGCACAGTCTTTACGCATCTCTCAACAAAATGAGAATGCAAAGCTAGCACCGGTAGGGGCACTCTCTACATCAAAGGTGGTGGGGAATCACTGGGCATTGGTGAGACGCAGACCATGTATCTGCACCAGGTGCACTACCCTTTCTTAAGTGAGATTGGAAGCTTCTGGACGTTTTGGGAGCTTCTGGAGACATTGTGTCTATGCCACCTAGAGCTCTCACTCTGCCTGCAATGAGGGGTTGTGCCCTATAGGCCCACTAGAGCCCTCAGGCCATATCATTCACAGAATAGTACGAACTGAAGGCCAGACTAATGCAAATTGGCTCCATTGAGCTAAACTGATTTAAACTGATAAACTCATTGAGCAGCTGAGCATCAGACCTTATTATTCCCTACTAATGTGTCTTCCTCCACTTCGTATAGCACAGAGCACACTGAGAGTGCTGTGCTGGTAATAAAAATACAGTGTTCTGCACTGCAGACAGGAATGACCAGTGTGAACTTTCCATTTGCATTTCCATCAGCTGTTCCATGGAATGTGTAGCAATGCAAAACCACAAAGAAGAAGAAGAAGTTATACACGGGCTATTGTTTATTTGGGTCCCTAGAAGAAGGAACAAGTAAATTGTCTGAGGCAATTTACTTTGCTGAGATATCCGATGATCAAAGGCCCTTTTCAAACTGAAGATGAGGTAGGGGAATAAAAAGGAGAGGAAGGAAGCTCGTGAGAGCAGCTGCAGATGCTGCAGGATGAGATAGGTGAGCAATTCTGAAAGCAGCTAATCCTAGGTGAAGAACACAATTGCTGGCAGAGGGCCAGGAGTTGCTTATTGGACCAGAGCCAAAGATCACTGAACTCAAAGGGAATATTTCCATTGACTTAATGAATGCTGGGTCAGGCCCTAGGAGAGAAGGCACTGTCCTTGCTCTCTGGGTGATTCTTTAGCAGCTGTCACCTGGCAGCTTACAGCCTTGCTCAGTTCAACCTCCTTCAGCATCCATGCCTATAAATGATGAACATGTTCTTGGTCTTTGCTCCTTTTGGGACTGAGGGAGGCTGTTTGGACCCTCCTCTCCATCCTGACATGGGGATAGACATTGGGGATGTTAGGCTGGAGCAGAGGGTCCAAACTAACTTGGCTATGGCATAATCTCAGGGGCAAAGGGAGCAAAGACCAAGAGGGTGAGAGTGAGTTAATCGTTTATACGTCCCCAAACAAAGTCCTAAAACTGAGCTATGCCTTGATTCACAGGTGGCTGCACTGCAGAACAGATCTCAGGGCTCACAGCATCTTAGTTCATGGACTGAAGATCATTTATCTGTGAAAAATATATAAAAACAGGTAACTACCAAGCTAACTGAAACGGTGGTTAACTGTGGAGTCAGTTTGTTTTACGCAGTCGGATTGTCGCCTAGGCATGCTCAAGGAGATCCCTTCCTTAGGGTTTGTCTGAGAACCCACTGAAATCAGTGGAAGTCTCTCAGTTGACTTTAAGGGGTTTTGGTTACAATCCCCAATGTCTTAACATGGGGATTGGTTTCTGAAGTCAATGGAAGTCCCTGAATGAAGAAAAGGAGAATGTAGTAGCTTTGACTTAAAATATATCCTTTCCAAAGTATTTCTTTAGTAATTATGGGCTAGTGAGGGGAGTGCTAAAGAACTTTTTCCTTGTGTCTTCCTTCCTCCCCGGGCCTGGAATAACAGCAGCACTTGCCCTCTTTCCTACAGCTGCAGTCCAACTGAGATTTAGCCAATAAAAAGTGTGGAAAGAAAAAAAAATCATCTTATGGCCCTTGTACAGCAACCAGGGGACCACTTAGCTGCAGAGAGGAAAACATACTGCATCCTCTTCGGGGCTATAGCAGCCGCTGTTCTTCCCCAGAATGCCAGAATATTCTGCCCCCTCTCCTTTGCTTACTCCTGGATCCTGCTCTCCCCCTGCTTGTGGAACTGTGGTCAGTAAGAGAGCCAGGTAACGGAGTGTGTCATCATGGTGCACTGGGTCCTGGAGTGCCTTCAGTGCTAAAAATACCCGTCCCCCAAAGCAGATCAGAGGCTAATAGGCATGATTAAGCCTTATACTAGTAATTATTATTATTCAATTACTATTATTCTTCTGCCTAACAGTGGTACCACATAATGTGAATAACATAGGCAGACACGTGAAGTGCTGTTGTCCTGTAGTAATATATATTTCATTCATACATTTGTATCTACATGAAAATTAATTTTTTGTTTCCTGTTGTCATTTCCTCTAGTTCCTTCCAGTCTCCGATATTAAGTGGTGAACTCCGGAGGTTAAGATTACTCATGAAGAAATGCTATCAAAGCTTCCAGTGGTAATCTGATCATAGACTAATGAAAATTTGCAAGTATGGGGTTAGTCCTTCAAGCCCATGCAGCAATCTTTATCTTGGGCAACCTGGTGGCTTCTCAACCACTTGCACAAAGTAAGTTGAACTTCCAGATATTAATTTTAAAACCTGATGTGCAGATTCACATTATTTATGTGGATGCTTTATTTGCTTCATGTTTTATCCAGTATAATACCTTTTAAAAAAATAAGGCCTGCTTTATCACTGGTGTAACGTCACAGTAACGTCAGTGGAGCTACACCAGGCACGAATTTGACCCCTATTTCTTTACAAATCTATAGGGATATAACAGAAATATTTAAAATGGTTTCTTCCAGTTAACATTCAGGGAAGACCTTTGTAAATTTGTGTTTGAAAATAAGGGGAGGGCCTCCTAAAACTCTGAGGAGTGGTACACAGTGCCAAAGTTATAAATTATGCTAGCAGGGATCATGTACAAAAAATAGAAGTGCAATCTTCTGGCCAGACATTCATATTAAAAACCAGAGATTAAAGTAAGACTTAAACAATTAATATTCTCTCATATTAAACAGTATGTGGGAAAATATGCAGCTATCCATTGACCTGTGGATACTGAAAAAGTATATACTTAATTATACATTTCCCAGGGGGAAAAACCTCACTTATTATTAATTCACAGTAACAGAATGGATATTTGGTAACCTGGACATTAGAATATCTATCTAAGACTTTAGTTATATTGCATAGTATCATTATTACTCATGCTAAGAAATAAACAGATTGACTTAAAAATCCATAAAGAAAACCCACCCAGCACACATGGGTGATAATTTAACCTTCATTCTTGTTAACACTAAGTTACTGTTTTTCATTTCTGAATTTCATGAAAAAAATCATGGTTTAAGATTCTTCTAACAGTTTATCAATTTCTTTATAAATCTGTTCTATATTATATTATATGTCTGAAACATATCACTTATGGCAACTCAGTGACACACGGACCCATGTTCCAGTGCTAATTACCTGGTGCAGTTATTTACAAAGTGGATGTAACACTCTACTATTCACATATGTTAGATCCAATTTGAACAATCATAAATGACCTCACAAGATGGAAGGCTGTGGAGAATCAACCTAGTAGTGCCTAGATACTGCAGTGTCTACTGATCCTACCAGTTGTTTGCCACTTCCACCTGCTATGAAGCCCAGTAGATGTAATAAGGAATACATCTCCCCCAGGCATATGCACTCTCTTTCTCTCCACCTCACTCCCTCTCATTTTTAAGACAGGGATTCATTTAGCCTTTTATTCTGAGTCATGCGAGCTCATTTCATGCTTTTCAGTGCTTACGCTGAGTAGCGGTATTTCCTACATGTAGTTCTACTGACTTAGATGAGATTGCTGTCATGGATAAGTAATATTCAGTGCAAGTAGCGGCTGCAGGATCAGTTGCATGGTATCATTCTCAGGTTGGTTCAATACAAGAGGCTAGGAGCTACTGCATGTGTGGTTGCTTATTAGGTTTTAATCAGTTTGGGGAAATCAGAAGTGGTTTTTCTTGTTTGTTCTGTTTTGTTGTTTTGGTGAGACTGCAACAGTTCCAGAACATTTGTGTTCCATTCTGTTATCTTTGTAGATAAGTGTTTTTTGTCTGTTCCATTACATTTCGGCTTCTTACGGTGTTCCTTTTGGTTCAATAATAAAGAAAAACATAACTTGTGGTTCGCAGTTCTGCTGCTTACCTAATTGCTCCGAGTTCTACTTGCATAAATTATTGAGGATGGTGGGCTCAACTAATAGTTACATTTTCTGCTTATTTTTCCTATCAGATGACCTACTGCACATGCAGAGATCATGTATTTCATGTATTTATGCTTCTACACACTTTGGTGCATTCAGCGCTCAACTGTGCTGATAAGACCCTGTCTTTGAGGGCCATGTGGTGCACCATCAATCCTGTTGGAGTTCCAGCAAGAATTTTCCCACAGAGAACAAAAATAGAGTTCTCCCCAGAGCTGGAAGAGTTTGACCTTGCTGTGGGCCTTCCAGCAGTGCAGCAGGCTCCTGACTGAGTTCCTGGCCATGTCCACTGGCTGACACAGGAGGGCACGGATCCAGGACAGCTCTTCAGGGCAGGCACTGTCTCTTTGCTGTATGGTTGTACAGAGCCTAGCACAATGAGGCCTTGGCTTCCAGCCATGCTACAGTAACAAATAATTATAATGATAATAATGATTATTAATTAATAACCCTGCTTCTTCCCTGTCATTTTGGGTTGTCATGTGACCTCCCTGCCCTTGTGCAACTGTGGGGCAGTGGGCAAAATAGGGGGCTACAATTATTATGAAATGAGGCATCAGCTTGGCTTGTAAAGATCCTGACTGTGTGGATAGTTCAATGTTTGAGACCATCCCACTTTCCCTCCTTGGAATCATGAAGCCTATGAAAAGGGGAGAAAATATCTCGTTTTATCGCTCTACCCTGTTCCACCCCCCAAGTTAAAATTCTCTGACTTCACTCCCATGAAAGCCACTTTCCACTGGCAGAAGATGGTTCTCCTTCCAAAAATGCAGTGTCTGCCCATAGAGGACAATAAGCATCCCTGCAGCAAAAGGGGCAGGAAGTGTGGTGCGTAAGAGGGGATTGTCAACATTCGGATAAGCTATGGAAAAGAATCCAAACTACTGGATGCTGATCTGAGTCAACCTTTTAAAATATTATATAATACATTTTCTTTATTTATATTATTATTTGTAAAGATGCACACAGTACTGTCCCAATACTTAAGGAGAGAGCATGGGTCCAGATCCTCAAAGGTATTTTACTCCCATTAATTTCAGAGGGAGTCTGAGGATCTGGTCCCTGGTCCCTTCTCTGGAACACATATTGTATTGGAGAGGGCTGTGAAAGGTATATGTAATACTAAAGCAAACCCAAAAAGTGCAGAGTCTGATGTTCATTTCCTCAACAGCAATGCATACTTTAATAATCAAAAAGAAGAACAGGAGGACTTGTGGCACCTTAGAGTAAGTCCTATCACAAGTCCTCCTGTTCTTCTTTTTGCGGATACAGACTAACACGGCTGCTACTCTGAAACCTTTAATAATCAAATGATTTTAAAATGTATTTAAAATGATATAAGTCCTCTGTAATTGAATACATTCTTTTAAAATCTTTAACAGGTTATGTCATCACTTACCTCTTATGAAGTTCCTAGAAACCAGAGTACATCAGATGGTTCCTACCTGACCAGATGATTTATTATAACTCCCTACTCTCTTTCTATTAATTAATCACTGTTTATTGTTAATGTATTTACAAAGTGTGCACATCAGTGACCATGTTTGCTAGATGTCAAATAGAGATGTGAAAATCTCAGAATTCCAGTCCATAATATGCAGCTGGCCTATAGTTATGTGCAGAATAAGGCCATGATTCTGCAAAGATTCCTGCATGTGGTTAGCTTTACACAATGCACATAGTCCCACTGAAGACAAGAGGACTAAATGTAAAGTTAAGCATATGGGTAAAGTATCAGAGGGGTAGCCGTGTTAGTCTGAATCTGTAAAAAGCAACAGAGGGTCCTGTGGCACCTTTGAGACTAACAGAAGTATTGGGAGCATAAGCTTTCATGGGTAAGAACCTCACTTCTTCAGATGCAAGATTCTTCTTGCATCTGAAGAAGTGAGGTTCTTACCCACGAAAGCTTACGCTCCCAATACTTCTGTTAGTCTCAAAGGTGCCATATGGGTAAGTCTTTGCAGGCTCGGAATCAAAATGACAGTCTTTAAGGTCAAACAAAAAGCATATAAAGCCACAATATAAGGTCTTTATCCAGGGTTAGATTGAGCCTTTAAGGCACAGCCTATACTATAGGATAGTGTGGAGCTATCCTCCTACAGGAGACGGACCAGGAGGCCTTCTTCGTGGGAAGCAACTTACTCTGTCCTTTGTGACCAATCATCTCTATTGGCTTTTCCATGGAGGACAAGAATCCCTGGCCCCACCTCCTCCCCATCCCCTCTGGGATGTCAGAAGGAAGTGATCACAGAGCCTGGGATTCTGCCTTGTGCTTATGAGGGATGTGTAAGGGTGGGTGGGTGTTCTCGCTAAATAGGAAGGATCTGACCCTCAGTTTCCCTAGCAGCCTTTATTTTCTTTTGAAAGGGAATCCAGAGGAGCCTAGGTGGCTTCCCTGATGTGTCCACTCAGAGTCTGCAGATCTTGAACAGTACATAGTTCCTGATGAGGGGCCTCTATGGGGTGGGGGGTTTATGGGGAGATTTGCCATTTAGGCTCCCCTTTGCACATGGAAGGGAAAGGCAGGATCTCAATCAAGGACTTCAGGATTTGGCCTTGAGGAAGGATTGGTTCAAGGGATCGATAATGAGATTACAGAACCTTTCACCTTAGTCACTGATTAGTATGGAGAGGAGGTCAGCAGTGATCAAATGCCCTTAGCATATGATGGCTGTGAGGTGTTCTAAGTAAAATAAGTTACATTTTCTGATCCCATTCTCAGTGCACTTGTGTCCACATCCCAAAACTACCCCAGCATCACAATTAGCCCTAGAGCTGGCATCCTTGTTGGTAATCTCACCATTGAGACCAAGGATTAAATGCCAATCTGGCATCTTCCACAGGGATTAGTTATTCCTTGTTAAAAACAATAAATTATAGACTTGTTCAAAAGGACAGGAATTGTGGTTTATTTTTTATGAGTATGTTGAGAGGTCCTTGTGATATGTACTAAAATGATGAGGAAACTTCCAGATATGTACTGATAGTCACCACAAATTTGAAGGGGAATTAACACAAAAATGTTCACATCTGGCCACCCACAATATTTCTGAGGGGTATATAAAGAAATTCAGACCAGAACTTCCCCTAAAAAAAGGACAATGCTATATCTCACAGTTCCACAGGCCAATAGCTGGCTGAAAGACATTAAAGAAGTAATTCCCCTTGAGAAGGACACATATCCAGCAGACAGCATATGGGCTTCAAGGTACTCCAGAGTCATTTTGGATCCGACATACAAATGCTCCATGTGGATAGGAACACCTCTTTACTGCCTGCCATTATGTTTACCTATAACTCAGTGCATTCTGACATTGGAAAACTAAATGAGCATTGAATTTGACTTAGCCTTGAAAGTATGTGATTAAACAAGCATGCAGTGCAAACATTCACTATTTGTTTTTTATGATTCTAACACATGAAAGTTAACAGTTCCTACTTGGTTTATATAATGAAAAATTGTCACAATAATATTAATCAAAATATGTATTTGCCTGCCTCTACAGGCTGTTGTGAAGACTAATGAGTTAACGTGTGTAAAGGGACTTCAAGATGTGTAGTGTTCTGTATACACTAATATAAACATATTTCAATTTTTTAAAATTTAATAATATGGGATCTTTATTTAAAAGAAGAGATGTGATGGAAAAGTAAGGAAAAACACATTATACATTTGTCTAACTATTCACAGATATAATTTATGCCCACTTTAAGGCCATTTCACACTGCCAGAGATGTGTAAAGTGGCCTTTGTGTCAATAAGACTCAGGCCCAATCACCTGTATCCTGCAAGTGCAGAATTGTTCCCTATAGTAATTTTTCTTGTAATATATGATACATATTTTTAAATGACTCTGAACTGGAACCATTTATAAAGCTCATTTTTAGGAGTTTTGTTTCTGATATTCAACATGAATTTTCTTACTCTTGATTTCATTCCACTACCTATAGTTATGCTTCTTATATAACCCAGAAGAGTTCCTCTGGTTCCTTGATATATGCACCCTTCAAATATTTGTACCTGTTTATCTTGGCTGTTAGTCAAGCTCTGAGGAATATTCTTGATATACCACTGTGGTATTCTAATCAAGCCTGAATAACTGGAAGCAGCATTGGCTTTGATCAGATGCCTAGAATCTGAACAAGAGGGAAGTCTGGTAGTGGGGAGCAGGAGGATGGGAGCGGAAAGAGGATGTGACGATAGTAAGATGCTCTGAGGTGGCCTGGCCATAAGGAGGTAGGGAGAAGTGGCCAGGTCCATTGGGAGAAACCATAAAATTTCTTTTTATCCACTTATCCAAATCTGGGACACTAGCCAACTAATTCAGAAGGAGAGGGATAAAAAATGGCCAAATCAGTGATGCTGCATATACTATATGGAGGCAGTGCCTCTTTCTAATGATTCCACTTCAAGCAGGTATTTGAAATATTATTTGGCTGAAGCAAATATCAGAAAGTTGGCTAGATTTCCTCTGAAGAGCTATTCAAAGCTGAATTTCAGTATAGCCCCACAAGTTACCCAAATTCAGATCTGATACTTCTCTCAGACTGCAACCAATCTGCAGTAAATCTATTGAAGACACTGGAGTTACACCTATACAAAACTGGCGTGAGAGAAGAAATCAGGGTCATCGTTCTTCTTTCCCAAATACTTAATAATTTTGTATTGCTACTCTCTGCATTCCTCCTAATCTGCTGACATCTTTCTGGTATTGAGCTGCACAGAACAAAATGAAATATTCCAGGGCAGTTATACTGGAGTTGTATAATGAGGGATTGACATCAACCTGCTCTGCTGTGTGATGTCTCTGCATTGTTTATGGGCTTATTGTGCTGCCACATGGCCTTGCAGACTCATATCTATTGTTGTACACTATTGGCTTGTCTACACTTGAAATGCTACAGAAGCACAGTTGCAGCACTGTAGACATTACCTACACAGACAGGGGGGTTCTCCCATCGGTGTAGGTAATCCACCTCCCTGAGAGACTGTAACTATGTCAATGGAAGAATTCTTCTGTCAACCTAGCACTGTCTACATGGGGGGTTAGGTCAGACATCGCTCAGAGTGTGGATTTTTCACATCCCGAGCAATGCAGCTGGGCCGATCTAATTTTTTAGTGTAGACCAGGCCTAACAGTCCCTAGGTGTAGTTCATTCACTACTGTTATCCAGGTTTCTCCTTCCAAATGTTTCAGATTATATTTCTGCAGAGGCCTTGTTTTGCACTTTTCCAATCTCAATGCCATTATTATTTTCCATCCATATTTCTAACCTCTCTAGGTCCTTTAGTCTTATTTCCCTGCCTTGCAAGTCTTCACATCACCTCTCATTTTTTCTGTCCTCTGTGACTGTGGAGTAATTAAATCGGAACTACTGGTCTCTTAACAAATGTGTGGTCATATCCTTGATTTCTGGGGTTGAAATTTGTTTTGTTTGTCATTGCAATGACAGGGTTGAAAGAAACCATCAAAATCACAGCAGTCAATTTCAATGGTGAACAGATGCAGATCACATGGGCAGCTAAAGACTATTTCCCTGACAGGACTGTGACTTTTTTTTACAGGTAAGTACTGGCAATGGCTATCCTCTTCCCCTTGGTTAATGGCTTTGCTTAGTGATCTACACTGCACTTAAATACCCATGGCCTCTGTCAGCTAACTTGGGCTCGTGGGGGTCTGGCAGCCCGTCTACACCACAATTTTACAATCCCGTAGCCCAAGCCCTGCGAGCCTGAGTCAGCTGACATGGCCACCTGCAGGTGTTTTAATTGCAACGCAGACCTACCCTTAGACATCTCACTCAGTCCAAGTTGTGTTTGAGCTACACCCGCAAATGAAAGAGAAGCTTATATTTGATTCAGATCAATATGCAGACTTGTTTATGTTCGCTCCACACCACAACCCTATTTTCCAAACTAATCATCAGATCTGCTGAATACTTAGTGGCATGCAGGTGGTTACACCCACAGTTTTGTCCATTCTTGTGATGCCCACCAGTGTATCAGAACATTTTTCACACACACTCACAGCTTTAGCTGCTGTTTAATTGAGAGCTGTGTAGCAATCAGTTGATGCTGCAAATGGAAATGAAACATTTATAGTTGCTTTGGGTCAATGACAAGTCAGCCAGTAGGAGGTTTACTCAATTGTTAGTGGGTATATGAGGCAGCATTCCCAGTAGAATGGTGTAGAAATAGGACACTGTCTGACACAGCTGTTAAAGCAAACCCTTCCCTTCTTAGAAAAGACAATATTAAAGAAACCTCACAATCTCAAATTGTAATGAACAGATGTCTGAAAAGTCAATGGGGGGAGGGATAGCTCAGTGGTTTGCGCATTGGCCTGCTAAACCCAGGGTTGTGAGTTCAATCCTTGAGGGGGCCACTTGGGGATCTGGGGCAAAATCAGTACTTGGTCCTGCTAGTGAAGGCAGGGGGCTGGACTCAATGACCTTTCAAGGTCCCTTCTAGTTCTAGGAGATGGGATATCTCCATTTAAAAAATATGGGAATTAGGTACTGGACTCCCCTTCTCCACTTTGAAAATCCCATCTATAAATCTCCCATGCAAATATCATTTGGGAGAAATAGTTTAATAAGCTAAAGTGACAAAAAGCAGCTAACTCATTTCAATAGATAACAAAATAACTGCATTAACTAATTTTATTTTGTTTTTACTTGCAGATTTGGCACAGCTCTTCAAAACAGAGCTTGGAAGCAATGCCCCAACTATATACTTGAGCAAGGTTACAATTCTGGCTGTCTCTTTAAGACAGAGGGACCCACTCTTACCATCTCTTTAAAGGATAAGAATGGAAGTGAAGAGCTTTTCAATTATACGCTAAAATCTGATTTCTTTAGTAAGTGAGTGAGCAACGACATTACCAAATTCCTTGGTAATGCTAGTGCCTTCAGTGATCTTCTTTTGTATTGAGTCTGAGATGAAGAGAGAGAACTATTTCAGAGTATAAAATATTATCAAGGAAGATGACAAATTAGTCAAGTGTATAAAATATTATCAGGAGGGACAAAATAGAATATTGTTCTCTGTTTGGGTATAGTGAGGCTACTTCTTCAACACTTAGTTCAGTAGTCAATTGTCTTCACTGGGGCTACTTGTTTTGAATAAAGGCCCCCAAATTCAGATCGAAATCTGGATTTTGAACACTCAAAAAGTAGGTATGTTTGAATTTTGAAATATTTAGTATAGTTGACTATGTAAAACATATAACCATACATGTAGCAACAACTGGAAGCCTTGGTTCCATTTTCATAGTGGAGGGGTAAATATATGATATCACAATGCCAGAATGACAACAGGTTACAGTGAGAAAGCACCGGAAGAGTAAGAGAAAGGCATTTCCATTTCTCTTACACTTTTATTGGTTTTATGTATGTAGCTGTGTCTTATGGGTTCAACATGTAATGACTATTATTGCAAAGAAATCTACAGAATAGTCGGAATGAATACTAAATAAAATAAAATAAAATAAACCAGCTATAGAACATCATTGAGCATGTCTTCTAAAGTTAGGATAGCTTCCCGGGAGGAAGGGTAGTTTTATGGCTAAGGCACTGGAGTGGCATTCAGGAACTCAGGTTTAATTCCCAGCTTTGTCACAAACATCCTGTGAGACACTGGGCAAGTCACTTTGGATCTCTGTGCCTGAATCTTCCATCCCTAAAACAGAGATAATAGTGCTTCAGACCTCACAGGGGTGTTGTGAAAGTTCAGTAATATTTACCAGGTGCTCAGATACTACAGGAATGGGAGTGAAGTAGTTAGATTTCTTTGCAGGTGGTGTGGATCAAAAGAGAGGGTGCACTAATGTACTTGAGGAAGGGGTGTTATGCTCCAATTCCCATGAAGATGCAACTTCCACTGCTAAGAGGTAAAAAACCAAAGGGTTCAAAATATTGTGCCCATAACAGCTGACCATCTGTAAACAATGTGTCAGTTTAGAACAGCACAAATGCATGATGCCATGGGTCTGAATTACATTTTGATGTACAGAAAACAGGCCATCTGGAAAACTGAACCTTTCAGGAGCTCTGAACTGCATGACAGTCTAAAGAATTCCAGGAATGCTTGGGGGCGGGGGCGATGGTTTGAAATGAGTTGTAGTGATCCATTTTAAGAGTGTATTGTGTAATTTATATCTCTTTTTTCCCTCAGTAAAACCCAATCCGCCTGAAAATGCAACCTTCCATTGGAAAGGAGATACAGTTACTATAGAATGTAATAAACCAAAGACGCCAGCAAGGTGCTTAGAGCTTGAACTTCAGTATAAAAGCAAGTATGACAAAGAATGGCAGGTGGGTAGAGTTTGCAATTCTCACTTAACATAGGAAAGAGATGGGACTGGCACCTCCATGGAACAGACAGCATAGGTTTTCCCAGCAGGCCTATCCCAGCCCATTAACATACACTTGATGGGCTGGCAGCAGAATAAACTAGACTTCACTGCAAAAAAAAGGTGCATTTTTTCCTTTGGGGTAACTAACACACATGTGCTATCCTGAGGTAAATACATGCTGAAGGCCAGACACTTTACTTTAAAGAAAGGTAAAGTTGTCAAGTAAAACAGTCCTATACCTCCTTCAGGGATTGGCCTTGAGGAGTTTACCTCATGGTTAACTAAGTGGCTGGTCTTCACTGTATTTTTACCTCAGGATAACTCAGAAGTGTTAGTTACCCCCAGTAAAAAACACATCATTTTTTGCTGTGAAGGCAAGCCCTAACATTTGCTAGACTACTGGATAGCTAATGTGTGCTGAATGTCAGCATTCCAGTAAATGGCCACATTTCAAGGGAGTTACACTTCACTGCTTATGCACATGTCAAGAAGACATAGAGGAAAGGCAATATTTAAAGAATGGGAGCAGGGAGGGGAGTCATAAATGGGAAATGAAGATGAAAAATGGGAGAAAGAAGAAAAACAACAGAGAACAGGAGATGGGAAAGAGACAATGTTCCAGGTATTTTATTTATCTAGAACATAAATACCAGCTTTACATTTCATTTCATGGAATTAATTCTTCCTAGGCTCATAACTAACATGTGTATGCTTTGTGGACCAAAGCTAATTCTGTTTGTTTCACTGCAAATAATTATTGAGGCATAAATGTAACAAAGAACTATATGTTAACTTAACTGTAACATTGTTTAATGCTAGAAATGGGTCTGAATGAGGAAAATCCATCCAAGATCCAGAACTCCTAAACTTTTTGGGGATGTTCTATTTGTGTCAGCTCATTTCTTATGTTTGTTATTACAATGATATAGTATAATATTGTGAGAAGAAAAATATATGTAGGAACTAATCATTAATGATCAAATATCTTCCTGTCCAGTCTAGAAAATCTGCATGTTGCAAAGTTGAAGAGCAAGGGTTTGATCCTGAAAAGTGCTACTCCTTCCGGGTCAGATTGGAAAGAACATCTGTTTGCAATAGAATTCCTTATGCCAGTGAATGGGCAGAGGTAACAGTTTGGAGAAATGGCAGCTTACTAGGTAAATGCTAAGCTACACTCATATTCTTAGCTGGAAATATAATCAGAGGAGGGGAGGCTGGGAGATGGGATGTCAGGTGGTGCATCAGGTTAATTCAAAGTAAAGATCTAGTCAACAATAGAACAACCGAGTCTAAAGCAGCACCGAGCATTCTAGCCTTTGCCCTGAAGTGCATCATTGATTTAAGACATTAATATGGAAGTGGAGAATTTCCCTTGAATCTGTTAAATACTTGGGAAGGGACACAGACAGTTGCTGCCATGTTTCAGGCTCTTCAGTGACTTCTGTGGGGAGGTCATGACATCAAGCTTGCTATGAAGTTGTGGATCTACACAACCGTGGTTATACCGACTCTGTTGTATGGCAGTGAAACTTGATCACTGCTCCATATTAAGTGCGAGGACAAGATCCAAAATGAGAATATTTGAAACTGAAACCAGCAGCCACCTCCATCAATGATGGTTTGGTTTCATTGGCTTTCTTGGTACAGAGATATTAATAGGATGGAATACCAATGAATTATGAAGCATGTTTATCTAGGAATGCTGCTACACAGCTGACAATAGTCTGGTCACCAAAAGCTTTGGTGGCACAATAAATTTGCCAGCAATAGACATAAACTGAATATCTAGCCCGACCACCTAAGGGACCAGGTAGAGATTGATGTGGGTGGTGCTCAATCTACAAGGAGAATACATCCCTTTGCAATTTGCCATCATAGAATCATAGAATATCAGGGTTGGAAGGGACCTCAAGAGGTCATCTAGTCCAACCCCCTGCTCAAAGCAGGACCAATTCCCAACTAAATCATCATCATGATGATGGATGGATCAGGTTAATTCCTAGCCCTTTCAAACATAATTTGATTCATGAGTGCAAATTGGGGTTGATGGCCTGATCCTTCAATTCACATCTATGTTGCTGTAGCTGTCACAAGCAAGTACTGATTTGGCCAGTAACAAATAGGCTTTGTATTACAGTAGCACCTAGATACCCGAAATGAAATTAGTTTCCAATTGTGCTAGGCCCTGTACAATTTCCCTTTAAAGTGGGAAGTTTGTCACTGCACGATTTCAGAATTACAGTGACACTGATAATTATACACAAAGCTGATTCATGGACTGTTCAAATGTTGTGTGCAATTTTTCAATGACAGAGATAAAGAAGGAAAAGATGCTTCCTCTGCCATTGAGATCTCATATGTATGATTTAATGTTTTTGTTCTAGATAATACCTTTTCCTTTCTCCCACAGTTTTATCTACCTTGTCTGTCTGTAAGATATATATGCTGCTGACATACCTGTTTGATAGAACTTTTCAGGGTTCCTTGCTGTTATTTATTTATTTATTTTGATTTTGATTTATAAATGCAAAATTCCAATCCATAGCTCTAGGAAATTTAGCTGTAGTTCATACTTCCAATAATCACTATGAGATAATACAAAGAATATAGTAATAGAATAAAATAGAATACCACAATAACCACCAATAAAAATAAAATTGAAATACCCACAGCCAATTAAGACTAAATGCCTTTAACCATCGGCCAACCATTCCCTACATCCTCCGAAAATAGAAGGGCTTTTCAGCATGTCTGGATGGTTAACTGATTCAGGTTCTGGCAGGCCAAAGGTGGAAGTATAACCCAGAGTTGAGTGGCCTTCACAGAAAATGCCACACCAGCAATTCCATCATGTTCAAAATGGGAGAACTCTACCAGTGTAGGCTGAGAGAAGGTGTCTCCCAAGTAGCCAGCTCACTTTTAAGGATTTGTAAGTTAAAATCAACACTTTGTATTCCACCTACAAAGTAACAGGCAGACAGTGCAGCTCTCTGATCACTGCTGTTACAGCATCAATAAGCAAGTTACCACCTGCTTCACCAGCTTCAGTGTTTGGTGGTCTCAAGATGCAGCCCCCTTTCAAGATGCAGCACTCCAGAAAATCATGTCTCTGGCTAGGTCTGCCTCTGAAATGCACAATGAAAAAAATGGCACTCTTGCCAGCAGCTGCTATATGAACATCAAGTAGAAGCTTTAGATCTAACCAGGGCCAGCTCCAGGCACCAGCTAAGGAAGCAGGTGCTTGGGGCGGCCAATACAAAGGGGCGGCACTCCATCCGGGTCTTTGGCGGGAATTCAGCGGCGGGTCCCTCAGTCCCTCTCTTCCTGTTTGAGCTGCCACTGAAGTGCCACCAAAGAGGAAGAGAGGGAGTGAAGGACCCGCTGCCGAACTGCCGCCGAAGAATGGAGTGGCGCGATTGAGCAGCCGCTGAAGTGCCACCGATCGGCTTTTTTGTTTTTTTTCCCCCGCCACTTGGGGCAACAGAAAACCTGGAGCTGGCCCTGGATCTAACAAGACCCCTAGTGCCATTCTGTGCCTCGTTCTTCTAAGTACAGTCTCAAAGACAGACCACATTAAGTTACAGGACACTTTTCATCAGCTTTAGTAGGTTGGATGATCCCTTATCGCTTTGCTGGAAAGCAATACTCCCAATGAGTACCATGAACCAATAGAGAGAGTTGCTGTAGTTACATAAACACAGGCAGTCACTCAGTCCCCACACCTTCAAATCAGATCTCCACAAGGTGCCATTCACTAGGCTTTATAGGAACTTAGTCTCCCAGACCTGCAGAAGAGCTCTGTGTAAGCTGAAAAGCTTGCCTCTGGTTTTGGCTACACTACCACTTTTGTCAGTAAAACTTTTGTTGGCACCCCTTCCCCTGACATAAGTTTCACCGGCAAAAGTGCTGATGTGGACAGCGTTATGCTGGCAAGAGAGGCTGTCCTGTTGACGTAGCTAACACCGCTCCTTGGGGGTGGTTTAATTATGCCAGCAGGAGAGCTCTCCCTTCGGCATAGAGCGGCTACATGGGAGACCTTACAGCGGCACAACTATAGTGGTACAGCTGTGCTGATGTAAGGTCCGTACTGTAGACATAGCTTCTCTCACCAACAGAAGTTGGTCCAATAAAAGGTATTACCTCACCCACCTTGTCTCTCTAACACCACGAGAAGGCATTTCATTGCAAGGGTGAAGGAACTGTGCTTTTCTTTTGCAGAGTTAGATTAGTTTGTCTTGTTTCTTCCTTAACATTGCTATTGTTTTAAAGAGAACATCTGCAATAGGTACATTTATGAATTTACATTTATAGAAACATGACATTTTAAAATATGATTTTTGTGATTATTCCTAGATTCATGTGCTGATGATATAAAGCCTCTGTCAGACAATGTGATCCTTTTAATTTCTGTGCTGGCAGTCCTTCTAGTAATATTCCTCCTTCAGATTTTTGTGTGCAAATGCCAAAGGTAAGTGTTACTGGTCCCTACTGATATTTGTGTCATGATAATACAACATATGTAAAAAATGTGCATATTTTGATTCTATCCTTCTCCCACCATCCATTGTTGTTTGTCCTCTTAAAGTGCAAATTCTTGAGGGCACGGATTGCGTGTTCCTTGTGGTTGTGTCCTGTGCCTCGCACATTGTAGGTGATACTGGAAAACAAAGAATAAGTAAATATGCTCCCCAACCTAATATGCTCCCACTGGTCTTTATGATGCCATGGAATCATTGCCCAACCAAAGAATCTCTGGCACCGTCAGCCTACAGTCTACAGACTGCAGACCCAGACATTCACTCTTTAGTTTCCTGCTGCCATCCCTGTACAGAGCACGTCTCTGGAGTGCCTATAATCAGAGATCCCGACTCTCACCTCCATAGAAGCAGGGAACTCTGCAGCTGCAGACACATACTTTCTACTAGAGGAGCTAAGAACAGAAGGTGAGAATTTCCTTCTACCTGAAGAGTGACAGTTGGAAGGGTGATGGAGTGGCAGGGTGAGAAAGGCAGGGTAACAAAGAAGAAAGGATGACAAAAGTAAAGGGGAGGAGTGCAAAAGATGTGAAAGGGGAAGATAGGGGAGGTGGTGGTGGAACGGCTGAGCCAGAAAAGGAGGCAGGTAAAAGATGAAAAGGTGTAAAGGGTGATTACATGGGAGGGCTTCAAATAGTGGTAGAGGAGCAGGGGATAGGAGAGGTGAAGTGAGTGGCAGTCTCCTGATCTGTTTAATGGCCTTAACAAGACTACCATAACCCTCAGTGATGTTGTGAAGATTCTGTCAGTAGTACCTGGGCTGTGGGCCCCTTGGATGGAAATAGTATTATTGTAATAATCCATACTTACATTACTGCTTGAATGACAAATGTGGGATCAAAGCCCCAAGACATCTGCATTTGCTTTTCTCTTTCTTTTATAAATTGTAAAGATAGTTTAAAAATAGCATCTCCTGGCTGGGGTTTATAAAACATTGGCACTAGATTCTTCTTACCAACTCACTCACTTGCCTTCCTGCCCCATCCGATCTATTACAAATGAAATGTGAGAAACAAAAACTGAAACTTTGTGGCACCGAAGTGCACGTTGGAAGCAACATAATCGTAACAGCTGTGAGCACTCAAAAGAAAATCCATTTTATGAGCATTCTGTCTTGTTAACAGTCTTTCGGGCTTGCAATTCCAAGGAGAATTTAGGCTGTTTCTGTTAATTTTTTGAGCTACAGTACTAAATATTAAAAGGGTGCATGTTGCAAGAGTGATAGCTATTATGGAACTTGAATCATGTTTAAAGAAGCTGCAGTTGAGAATATTCATTATTGTTTGTATATTTCTATTGTATAACCATTATGCATGGCAATTAGCAACTTAAATTAAGACAGGCACAATATAAAGGGACAAATATAGGGCAGGGATGCATGAGGGGAGAGTGGTGGAGAAAAGAAAGAAAGAAAGAAAGAAAGAAATATATATATATATATATATATATAT